AAGCTTTGACCCGAAAAAATAACCTTTTCCATGACAATGGTGGCAAAGTTGATTATGCTTGCCACGATGTTTTTCTTTCAATAGGGGCAGAGTTCATACCTTTCCCCTGAAGGTTTTTCTTTTCATTTAAAAGTTTCATTGACGTTGCTAGCATTCTGTACTCAACATTAACAAATATCAAGGTTCACACACATCCCAACCTAAAAGGAGTGGGACGGGCTTCCATTGAAACTAGTTCCAGTGTAGTTTCGTTTTAATAAAAAAGCTATTCATGTGTTACCCTTTGCAAGTTTTTCCTCATAAAAACTCAGTAGACCGATAAATCCTTGCCTAGCCGCAAACTTGCCACCTACCGATCATAAACATAAAGATGCATTTGGTCTGTTAGTCTTTTATATTTGCCATTCCCTGTAACAAACAAATAACACTGCAAATATATCAAGAGCTACATCGTTTAGGCCTATGTGAATATTTTTATGAACAGAAATTCACCCGCTTCCAGTGGAACCATTTTGTTTTAACTTGAACCAAAAAACACCCTTTCGGGTTTTATAAGTTTAAGTATATACTTCAGTATATTTCATCACAGTGCATCCAGAATCCAACATTTTCAGGGGCCTTAAAGCAGGCCCCTGGCCCTGTGGCCTCACACCGTAAGGGCTCGGGGAAAAAAAAACATACACGACGGAATTTACTAAATGTAAGAAAGCAGCCTAGCAACAATAATATTTACGTGCGATGTCATGCATAATGATACAATTTTTTGTCCAGAATTAAATGGAACAAAGAATGGAGATAAAAAATACAGGGTTTTCGACTTTTCAGTACAGTAGAAACGTCATAAGAGCAAGAGTATATTCTAAACAAAAAAGTAAAATAAATTTTCTTCGGAAAAACAGGTCTTTTGACCAAAAAGGTTTCTTTGACCCACAAAATCACCCTCAACTATATTCCATCCCAATGACATACCACTCAAATGAAAGATCTTGTTGTCCCCTTTAATTTGATACCAAATTTGTTGTTGAGATGCTTGCAGGTCTGAAGATTATTATTAATTTATATTTTTTCATGTAATAATTAGCTGATGACGTCATAATGACGTCATACATGCCCTTTCCATCATCCAATTTTTTGCGTCCGTCTTTTTTTCGAAAAGGTATACCATGGAGATGCTTTGGTGAAAAAATGGTGCTTTTGTCCACTGTGTAACGATCCTTAGCATTTTTGTTACTAATGTACCTCACTATCAGGTTTTTTTTTGTTCAGGCAATCACTACCACAGACACACACTTTGCTGGCTCTCAACCAATTGACTTCGGCGAGCATTCCGCGGCATTACGCTTCAGGACTACACGGCGACACGTTGGGCTCTCGTAGTTTTCCACCCAATAATGATTGAAAATAAAATAAAAAACCGAGTTTTCTTCTTTTTATGTCTTTAAGGTAAAACCATCGCAGCGAAATTACTGAATTTGTTGGCTAGCGGGTTCCGAGCGGTTGTAAGGCCAATTTTCCTCCTGTAAAAAAAGTAAAAGACACGCAGGTCGGGCCTCGGGGACGCATCAAACGCTAGGGTTACGATGCCGATGCGACAGGTGAAGTCCGCAGCGGGTCACTGCGCCGTTATTGCCCAGTCTTGCCCGGTATGCCACGGCAGTAAATCCCGCCGTCATCGCCACAGCGCGGTAGAAAAGAATAGCACCTTTCCTTGGAAAAGTCAACGATCGCCTTCGCTTGTTCCCGAGTCTTTCTGGCCTTGTCCTTATCAGGACAATACAGCCGCAGGCTGCTCGAATTATCAGGATCCTATATGCTGTCAGTAACGACAGCTTACCTAATTACCCAGACGCTTAAATGACCACTTACCTCATTTTTTGAGGGTGCGATTGTTACGCTCTCGACCAAAAACAAAATCACCGGCGACTTATCACGCGTCACGAGCCTCCACTACCGCAGACCACCGTACGCGCCAGGCCCAGGGCAGACGGCAGAGCTAATCTCCCAAATGACCCCTATAATTAAATTTGACGGCCTAACTTCTTTCGAGGCTGCCACTAGCTGAAGATGAAGGGTATAAATCAAGGGAAATCGTCGGGCCTGACCTTGTCCCTTTAATGTGGCTTTAAAAAATGGGGTCTAGGGCTCAGGAACGAGTGGACATTGAACTCTGAAGCTTGGTCTATATATACATGAACTACTATACAGAAATATTTTGCCGTTAAAGGGAATATACATCATTTGCTTTTGCTGTAATTTTCAGAAATGGATGGAATTGGGGGATAGAAAATATATAGCAAATATAGTTACACTGACTTTTTTGAGGTTTTGGGTTCGAAAATGCTATAAAAACCAAGAAAAACGATCATTTTCCTGTTGTCTGGTTCCCTGACTCCATACAAGAAGAATCAGAGCAGTTTACATACATTGGGGAATTGTAAGGTCAGGGAACCAGTCTAGCTGGCTCGTACCCGTTCATAGGTTTGTAATCGATTGCAAACAAGTGCGATGGTCCATTGGGGCCAGTATTTGAAAAAAAAGCCAGTTGTTTCCAACGCTGATCGGCCGATCAGCGTTGGAAATTGATACAAAAATACCACTTTTCTTAAAAATGACAGTATACCAGGTGCCATGATTTTACAGGATGCTTTACACTGTCATTCACTAACAGTCCAGCAAAGTATTTCAAAATGATTTGGTAGTTTTATTGTTTGATGTTTGCAAATGTTGTATTTTCCCTTTAACATTCATTATAATTAATGTCCATGTGCAGAACTTCTACATTTTGGTGTATTTGTGTATAAAATTAGGCCAAAGTAAACTTTCGTGTGGTGGTAAAGTCGAGAAAGGATTGATAGAGTAAACAAAAGAAAATAATCACATTTTGAAACTACTCAAGTTGAAATATATAGTCTCCCTGGGCGAAATGTCAAGTTATCAATTAGCATCTGTATATTAAGACCTGAATTTCTCTCAGTTTGCACGCTGTTGTGTTTCTTGGACTGGTACTGATTTTGTATTCTTTGAGGTTCTCTTTCTATAAGAAAAAAAGCTTCATAATTCTTCGCGGCAACGTTTTTTGACGACTTTCAAACCAATCCAATGTCTTAAAAAAATAAATTCTTACTTCCGCGGAATCCTTTAAAAACTCATAAATACAAAAAATCACAACGACTTGATATCCAATAGATGTTCGCACAGTGACCTTTCCCAAATCAAAAGTTAGCCGATTATGTTAAGGATTTGTTTTGGGTGCGGTATAACGTATTGTGCCTTTTTTAAAAATGATTTGTATCAATTTTATATAGTGCTTTATAGTAGTAAAGAGTCGACGAATCATTTCTCCAATAAGGTAACCTAATCCTCTTCAGAAAAACGTAAATGAAACAAAAATGACATCCTTACCAAAAAGACAAGACTAAGAATAATGACCAACAAGCGTTGGGGTTAAAATAGGGAAATACTCCAAAGGATATAGCTGTTGAGAGTATACTTTTACGAATAGGCTACTTATTATCAGAATCGTCATTATAGACTGGTTGTCGATGTCGTTTACAGGACTGTATCTCGTAATTTACTCTTGTTTGTTTGTGGATTTGTCCCTTCCCCAGGGGACCAGGTTTATAACTCGCTGGTCAATCCGCATCAAAGCCAGCTGCGTGGACGAGTGGACACAGCAGTCCAGTCATCAAACACGGCCAAAACAAGTGAAGTCATATACCAAACGTATATGAAACTGATAAAAATGTGTGGTAAATAGTACATAATATGATTTTTTTTCGGGGATGGGGGGAGGAGGCAAAGTCGGTGCCTTGATTCGTAAATTATACCATTTGTCCAGGTCCCTGTGGAATGCGTGTAAAACTATGTAGAAAGCCCAACTTTTCATCGGGTACCAAGTGGTATCGGCCGGACTACGGAACGCAGAGGGCAATGGCCGAGAGTAGACCCGTCTTCTTCGCTTAGCTAGTTGCTTGAGGAACACGTGTAAGCCTCGTCAACTTGGGAACAAACAAAACTGGGACAGTCCGAGGTGTTCGTGAAGAGAGTGCTTGCATGATGAGAAACGGTCCACCTAGGTTTCGAAGAGAATTCCTTAAATGAAAGCGCCGAAGCAGTTTAGTTTCCATTGCGGGTTTTGTGATGTAAAAGCCTTGAATTAAAAATGTCTGTTTATGACGTTTTCGATGAGATATCACGAAGTTAGTCTTTACCGTAATCGTGGGCGGTTTTTGATTCTGTCTTTTGGCGTCACATAATGACTGCTGAATTAAAAACGTATTTATGATACAATGCCGAAGCATCAGTAATACCTCTAAACTTCCCCCAATGGTAACATCCACAGCTATATAGTTATACCACCTTTAATGCGAGAACCACTGTTTTGCAGTGTTTTGCTACACAATTTTTCATTTGAGAAAAACTGATGCCAAATTTAAAAATAATCAAAGACCAGCGTTTTCCAGACAGTTCAACCGCTCCACTGTTGAGGCTGCTAGCATGCACACTGTCAATGGTTTAAATTGCATGATTCTTATAGCGTTTATTATTGAGCTACCATCGGTACATCTGTGTTTATTCAATATAACACTATGCACCATCACCTTTCTTTTCCTGCGATGTCTTACGTGTTCACCATATACATGTATATGTATGCATGTGCATCACCCAATTTTTCAACACGTTTAGCCCCAGGGCCCCTAGCCTCGACATTTTGCGGGTCCCGACCTCGTCTTTTTATAAGCCTACTCTCTTCTGTCTCTCAACTTTCACATTCCTTCTCCGTTCTCTTTTTTTCTTTTTAAGAGGACAGCTTTAACGAAATACCTCGCAGTAAAAAAACCGAAGAGGGAAACAATAGGCAACATTATGTAGTTGCACCGTCGAGGCTTGGAGCAAATCGGCCCGGAATGAAAGAGGTGGTAAAGGGTCTTGTCTAATGGTCCCACCTGGGAAGCTGAGCGTCGGGACCCTCTGATGACTGAATTGGGACCAGGGTCAGACCCACAGGTCAGCCAGACAGACTCAATTTACACGTACGGATCACTTGATGTATTGTTGTCGCTACTTCGGCGAGGCGTGCCGCCCCTGAAACCTCTCCGTCGACACCGGTACATTTACATGCGAGGGCGACTCCGTCGTAGCTCTACACCACGTGTGTTTTCATCAACCTCTGGAAGACGTTTTACCTTTTTGCTTTATTTCGCTTTAATGGCAGTGGCGAGGTCATTGACTTGAACAGTCACGTGATGGAAATGACGACATGTCTGAACTGAAGTTACTTGATGTGCTGATAAAAAAAGGACAAAGCATAACGACGTACTCCAATGCAGTTGTTGGAAGGACATCCTGTATTGTTGCATTATTGTAAGGTTGTTTTTACGGTATAAAGTAAACCATAATATTCATCTCCTTTGCGAAGACAAATCCAATGGACGATCAGTGAATACAACACCAGGATTTTTTTTAAATAATGCAAAATCTTAATATCATGCCAAATATGCCAGGCTTTTATTATGTTCATATTTATTAATTGAGAAAATCCTCCGCTTTCCACACGAAAATGACATTCGAAGCGCGACTTGACATAATCAAGGGCAAGACCTTATCTTGGTGTCAAAAGGCTCGGCTAATAAAAAAAAGTTTCTATTTTCACAGACCAACCAGAGCGGCCCATCAACCGGTCATCGCACGGGGACTCCATCGTACACGGCTCGCTGGGTGCTGACAGGCAGCTAGGTCTCCCTTTGTGGCTAGGGATGGCCCCACGAGGGGTGCATGACTACCAGTACGGTGCAACCAACCCTGCCGAAAAAAAGAAACCTGTTGAGCACCCGTGATGGTATCATCTGCGGTCGTCGACTTATTCATGACCCTTTGGAAAGAGAATGAATGCTGTGTGTCGGCCGAAATAGTGGTAAGCCCGGCCGGTCAATTTGTTACAGAAAGAGCAAAGAAGATGGGATACCGGATAAAGAATTCCCCGAAGGGTATTCAATTGTTGTGGATTTATTTATTTATTTATTTATTAACATGTCTTAGTTATCAATATGTTGCTCGTTTAGGTTATGAGGTCTGACATTTCGATCACAGCAAAATCTTTCTCAGGCCAGTCATGTCAACATGAAGTATATTTGCATCAACTTTTATTTCTTAACCTTTCAGATTTCTGATATCATTTCAGTCTTTACATTGTCATATTTCTGATGCTTTGCATTAACGCGAATATACTTATTCATGAAGTCCCAACTTGTTAACATGCTACATGAAGCAAAAATGATTATCACATGACGTCGCCACGGAGTTCGGAGAAAAAGAAAAACTCCATTGAATCGATATTGAATCGAAATGCATAACGAACTGCACGCAGGGCTTAATATTTACTCTGATTTCAATCAGTCGAATAATAATCCTGTCTTCGGAGCTCAATTTCCGCTGCTATCTGCGCCATTTGTGCGGCCATATCTGGAGGGGTTATGTTAGGGGGTGGGGTTTGGTTGTCATCCCCTCTCATCGATCCTGCCCTTTTCCCGTTTAAATCGAGTATTTGTTTGTTTGCGTCACTCCAGCGGTGACACTCTATTATCTGATGGTGATTAATTTGTCACGCCTTGCCAAAGCTGAAAAGCTGCAGGCCCACACGAGCCAAATGATTTGCATCCAAACTTTGTCACAGCATCACTCGACGGTAAACCAAACAAAAACGTCCTGAGTGATGGATAGCCGCGTCAGAAAGGAAACAAAAATGCGAATTTAAAAGAGAAAACGAAAGAGAAAAGTCCTGCAAAAGGATTTTTTTACGAAGTCTATCCTCGGTCATTCACCGGTTAACCATTATTTTTTGGTGAGACTAGAAAAGCAATGAATATCAATGGCTTTGAAATGAGTTGTTTTCTTAACAAGGTATATTTATGACATCAATCTCAGAGCCATGGACGGGCATGTAGCACTGCGCAAGGTCGGCCATCAACACACACACGCTACACGGGCGCGCGGGGCAAATCCGCCGGCAGATGTTGCTATTTAAACAGACACATTTTTAAAAACTCGTAAAAAGGCAATTTCCTGCGTCGGACGAAGTCTCCCTTTTTCGTTAAGTTTGCAGGGCACTCGAGCCTCTTGTCGAGTGTTCGTTTCCAAGCGCGCAACGATGCATCAAAGGACACCGGTCCGTGTTCTTTGGGGTTTTGTTTTTGCAGCGATGGCGAGCCATATCGGTACTGTTCCCCCTTCATGCCAGTCCAGGACTCTCGTTGTGTTGCAATTGTTTCGCATTAAGCAGTCTCCGTTTTCAGAGTGCAAACTTGCTTGCTGTGTATATAGGAAGAAGAACATGTTTTTTTATAAGATGCTATTCATAAAGTTTGGCCCAATGGTCAAGATTGGTCTTGACGTTTGATTATCCCTGTCAGGTCAAAACATCTTCAAGGTGTAATTTCAAGTTGAGGAGTAAAGTATTTACAAAGGAGAACGTGCATTGGCAAAGAAGAGCTGTTGCAGGCGAAGCCAAAATTGGCAATTGAAGATCGGCCATTATTCATTTATGCGATGTCGGTTTTGAAGAGAGCCAATAAGTTGGGACGATGAAGCCTGGCGCCATCTTCCCGTGCCTGAACGGCGGCAGCAATTGCCTGCGATACCCCCATCTCATGCATCTCAAAGACTCGATGGTATTTCAAATTACTCTCGGAGAAACCAACCAGTAGCGAGAGAGGGGGAAAAAGTGGTGTGGGGTAACTACTTTCACATTCATTTGCGAATCGATTCGCTCGGTAAAAAGTGAGACCGATCATTGCGGCACGATTTCACCCGCCGTCAATAAACGGTTCGCTGCCCGGCTGTATTTTGGGGCCTGCACGTCCGTTGCACTTTCTTCAGCGTGTTGTAACCACAACCCCGTGAAGAGTATCCTGCCATGAATTTCAATACCTCGCTCCGACTTTTTTTGTCCCTTCCTTACGCAAAAAGATATCGCTATCTGAAGGGGGGAAAAGGAACTATATGAAACCATCCCGAGATGTGAAGAAAAGGGGAACGTTGGCAAGAATAGAAGCTGCGGCAGCTTGGTAATTACTGTGACGAGGAGGAACGATTTATCGATCTTTTTTCGGGGAGTTGTGCGAGGGGCATATCGGTTACCGATCCGATTGCTCACTTTACGGCAGCTCTTTCAGAGAGCTCGGTAGCGCGGGGCGCAGGTCGGATTTTTTTTGACTGCTTCTTCGGGTAATTTGCAAGGTTTTCGTTTCAAAGCGAAGCGGGGGTAATAACCACATTATCCAGGCAATATTGGCCTACCATCCGTGAAAGGAGACACCGCTGTTTTTACACCGAATTAGTCCACACAAAAGAACTGATTTCCCCTGGACTGTCACAGGAAAACAGACAATGAATAGTTCCGTATGATTACTCAATTCGCCGTTCTGGGCTGACGAGCTTCTTGACACTGACTTCCAAACATTCACTTCCTGGCAAATATGAGCATATTCATAATATACACAAACAAGGCGTATCACCTTCCCTTGGGTAATGCTCTAACAGCAATGCAAGAAATATATATGCTTGAAATACAGTTGGCTTAGAAATTAAACAACATTACGTCTTTATAGGGCCCATCAATATTTAATAAACAACTAATCTGGATAGCAACATTGGGGTCTTAAGTATAACAAACTATCGACAAATGTTTTGTTAAAGTGGGATACCCTTTGTTTCACATTAAGCAAATCGCCTCTTTCATTCTCTTTCTTCTTTTATGCTTTCATTCGTACCAAGTAAGTAGAAAAGATTTAGCACCCTCCTTTTTCTTTTTACTTAAACAATATAAATTACACTTATACATTTACATTACGCAAGTTGAATGATTTATTTTTTTGCGTCAATTTCGCAGTCATATCTACCAGCTGAGCTCGCCCGAGTGACCATGCTACACAATCTCACATCGTCCGGATTATTTATGCTTCCATTACCCCCTGTCATTTGACAACCTGACTGCCTAAACTCGGTATTCACAAACATGTCCCATCTCCAACAGCGACCAAAAAAGTGCCGACTAATATCACTAATTAGAGCTATAAAAAGCAACGACGGCACGCGACCGACTTGCCGACACAAATAGGTAAAGGACAAAAAAAACCGAACGAGGATGATCTTGCTAGTTTCTTCACCACTTTTTTTCTGGGCTAATGACAGAAAGTGCAAAAAGCGTTCCGGGGAAGGAGAAACGCAAACGGAACGAGAACTTGCGTCGTAGTCCGGCTCCAGCAAGACTCATCAAAGTTTATGGTGCGTGAAATGGACTACTAAATAAAAAAAAGAGGGTGGCGCTCTACACGTATACTGTGCTGTACCAAAATGACAAGAGGTTTAACTGAAGGCCGCCATGGCATACAAACATGAAAGGTATGTACTTGTCACCAGATGTCTTATATGAATTGTGTCCCTGGAATAAAAAACAAAAACAATGTCATCCACGCACAAATTATTACAGTTAATCATGACACAGAAAGTGAGTAAAATTAGCTGGGCCCTGCGCACACCAACTTAACAGAGGCAAAGACTTCATAAAGCAGATGAAATTCAATCCGAGAATTCAGAATTCACCTTGCACCTGATCATTCAAACATCTGGCTGCAAAGGATTAACATCTGCTCTGACGAAAACACACAAATGATACAAACTGATAAAAGTAAATGCTAGCGGATATAAATTAGCACTGAGGTAAATGGTACTGAACCGATTAACCTTTGACTTGTCGCTACAAAGGTGGCATGTTTCCCCGAGTAGTTCATAATTTTACCACAGTGTGCCATGTTACGAAAATCAACGAAAGGAAACCGTATTACCGAATTCAACCGACTCTGAGTACTTTCTGGTATACAAGTTTCTCATTATTGCTTACGATCTTCCGCATCACTGCAACACCACCTGTGAAACATTGAAAACGTGAAACAAGGAAACAACAAAGGTAACATGCATCTGATGAAATCTTAATTTATCTTCAGTCTTGGGGGAAAAAGATAATATGAAGAGGTTTTTTAAGTACTATGCAATGAAGTACAAGTCGTTACAAGTGTGTCGTTCGCAAAATTATAACCAGAACAGCGCCGCAATACGGTAATGGATTTTCTGCCGTGCCTTATTCAAAATAAACCCCCACTGTTTTGAAATTTTGCTCGGCTGATTTTTTTAAGTCTGAAATGGACAGCCTAAACTATCCCGCTTTTGTCATCAGTTTGATAGTTCTTTCCGCGTGGATGCAGCAGAGAGCAGCACGCTGCGCCCTCATATTACTTGACAAGAAAGCAGTAACATTTGACTAAACAGTAAACTTTTTGATTATTCACTTATTATTACAGCTTTCTTGTAAAAAGCTCGGCCAGAAAGATTGGCATTTGTTGTTCTGTCAGTTGTCAAGAACAGAAGAAACCGGCATATGACAGTTTCAAGAAATTCGCAGAAATGCCTAACAAACGAGTCTTTTTTTTAAATCAAAATAAATCTCACCATTTTTTCCCATGTTTCAAATCACTGCCCTTATATGTTAACAAAAATCTCCTATTAAACAACTCAATGAAAACCAAAACAAGGCAAGAAAGAAAATCAGACGCAAAGCTCGAGGAAGAAGCAAAACTTGCGGATTTTCCATACTCCGATTGAAATCTCTACAACATTTCGCGGATTATTTTCCACATTGTTACTGGAATGTCCATCACTCTAATTTTTTTTTTTTTTTTGGGGGGGGGGATGGGAGTTACCGGTGCATTGGGAGGGCACTCATTTTGCCAATTTGTATACACGCGTGTAGTTTTTCCAGACAACGAAGCTTGAGACGGCCGCGTCCCTTTTCCAAATGCCAGTCCATCAGAGTGGATTGGCGCCGCGGCTCTAGATCAGTTTCAACGGAGGAACTATCACAGATAGATTGAGGAGAACCAGTCGTTGGTCAAAAGATAGGGGTCGGTGTCCAACACAAAAAAGGTTGGAGATGGAGCTTATTCACCAAAAATGGGTTAAACTAGCTAAGAGGAACGTGCAATGGTTACTTAAACAAAGCAAACCAAATCAAGACAAAACGGCCAAAAAAACCAGAATGGGAGACCACAAATTTAACGGTGCTTAACGAACTTCAAAAGCGTTTTCAATGAACGAGTTTTGATTTGGAAATCTCATTGCAAAGATTAGGGCTTGCTTGAGAATTTGTATTGCAACTATTTTCCTGCATTTATCAGAAAATGTATGTATCAATAATGCTGTAATATAGGCAGACGAACATTTTTGCTCGTCCTTTTGTGTTCAAAAGTATTATCTAGGCCCATATGACCTTTCGACAAAAATGTTTTACTAACGCACTTGAAAAGTTGCGGTCCACTCTTTGGTGATGCAATGTGTTTCAAGGAGGAACGTTTTACTTAGACTGTATTGTAGGACTTAAGTTAACAATTACGCCACGTTGTAAACTTTTTAAAAAAAAAACCTGTGCTTCGAAATTTTGATGCGTCATCAGTTTGCGATGGCCTAATTTTGTTCATACCTACTAAGATTGGATGACGCATCAGATACAGAAGAAGAAACTGGATTATCTAATTTCGTGCCGCCTCTTGTCAGCCGCTCTTGGACACGCCCACCCATTGGGTCACGCTTGAGCAGGCAGCCTTGTCCGTTACTCATTAAATAATCCTGATCAAGTTGTGTTTCACTGTCGCCTCACAAAAAGGAGGAAACCAAATCGGCGTGCCGTGATTAGGAAAAGATTACATACTCGTCTACGGAAATATCCATCAGGCGGGCTGTGTGCCCCAAGGACATTGGTTGGCAGGAATGGACAACCCGAAAGCCTGGTTTCCATTCTTCCAGGTCCACGGTTAGCTTAGTCCACATGCTACATGAGTTACCGTGATACTCCGCTAGCACACATGCATAGCGGGGCCGTGTTATGGCCGGCTGCAATGCCGAGTGGCAACTTGCCTGTCATCGCGTCATGGGCCCCACGGCTGCTTCCAGAGTCTAACCCCCGAACCCGCCCAGATGTGACGCCGTGTCATTGACCCGACACTGGCCTAATTTCTCAACCGGCAATGACAGAGAAATAACTCTTTTTTTTTGCTTTTCCCCTCAACCCCCCGAAATTAACAATCAAGAAAATTGTCGGTGGAGTTTCCTCCCAGGGATGCTCTGTGATCATTATTTTTTTTAATCTGGTTTCCTCGTCTGAACTTGCTGCTTGGGGTTTGGCATCCAATGGCAGACACCCTCACTCAGTGGAATTTGGAGTTTTGCTCTACGTGCACCAGTCTACTATCGGCCCCATTTGAGTTGCGCTAACAGCCGCATGGGACTCCAACTTTCTGCTGAGGAGTTACAACACCAGCGAACACCCATAAAACTTGACAAGGACCAAGCAAGAAGAAAAAATGAGGAAGACATATGAATCTGCGCTTGCACGCACACACTGCAACAAATTGGTCAGACCCTTAGCGGATTCAACAGGGTTCACTCGCGGTCATTCCCCTACTGCGCATGTTCGTCTCGGATAGGGAGCGCTCAGCTATGACGCCCGCCATGCTGTATTTAATTTAGAATACTTCGCTTCGTTAGTGTCTCCATCATTACCGCTAACGTGCTGGAAACCAGGTCGGATTAGACGATTTATGAAAAAGAGAGAGAGAAAAAAAGAGATCACCATGCAAAAACTTAATTTCAAGATTCCGCCTTGCTTCACTTAAGCGTGGAACCGACGACCACGCTCGGTCGGAGAGAGACAAGATTCCATGGTTACTATCCAAAACATTGGTTTGGATTTGACAGAGCCAAAATATACTAAAAAGCCCTTTTCACGTCAGGTAGGGACCCGGATTAATGAGGTTAATTACTGACAATGGTCGGGCATGCGAAGTGATGTGTGCAGCAGCAAGCACTGCCCGCATCATTAGACATTGAATGCCCGGAGGGGGGATCGGGACTGAACGTTATACGAATGAAGTTATAGCATAATAAGACCAATAGGAACTGACTCTGACATGTTCACGACGGCGTAACAACGGCAGAGGGAGGGGTGGTGGGTATTAATCACTAACTCGCTGAAGTATGTAATGCGAACACGATGGGGCACCATTCAAAGACACAAAAATGAGGTCACAAGTCAAGAAGAGAGTGACGTGGCGATTGTAGCTCCCACACGGCGACTGCGTGCGTGTGTCAAGATGGTCGCCCTGTCAATCTTTGGGCCAGCTCGATGGTGACGAAGTCTCGCGTGGATCTCGCGTGGATCCGCGAGACTGCTGTATGAGTCACGATAAACGAAATGCACGCTGTAATACTAATCTCAAAACTTGTACCGAAATGTGACAAGGAGTGACATTTTGAAGACGACTCTCTCCTGAGCAAGCGATACAGTATGTGTGGTGCATGCAAAAGAAACGCATCTAAGTTCTGTACATGCACTGCACATGCGGCTGGCTTGTTTCCGATAAATTGATTTGGGAAATCAATGTATCGAAACATGTACCCCAGCGTCCACACTTATTAAATGCAAGCTTAATAGTGTTCGGTACCAGAATATCCTTTTCAGGCACTGGTGCCTTGCCTTATTACTTCTGCCAAGGAGGTTATGTTTTCATCGTATTTGGCTAGTTTGTTGGTTGGTTGGTATGTCTGTTAACATGATAACTCAAAAAGTTATGGACGGATTTGCATGAAAAAAACTTTTAGGGGTGGTACTTGGTAAAAGTACAAATCGATTAGATTTTGGAAGTGATCCGGATCTGGGTCTGGATACAGGATTTATTTTAGGATTCTTTACCATTTATGCGAGTATTTCTTTTGGGTGAACTGAAAATGTGGTTGGGAATTGTTTAGCCTTGGCTAGGGTTTGCGATCTCTGAGTGCGTTCTAGTTTAACATGTTATATACAATTATTTCCAGTTCATTAATTGGAGAAAAGCTGTGAAAAAAATGTAACTGAAAATCCATTTCTAATATATATATATTACAGGTCACTCGCGACTCGGACTCGGACTCGGCCTTCATGACTTGGGACACGGACTCTGACTAGGGAGAGGTGACTCGCTGACTTGGACTGGACTCGATGTTTGGGGACTCGAATACAAGTCTGGAAGGTTTTGATGTCAAGGTAGCCAAAAGAGAAACCTACCCATACCGATAAACTACATCAAGTTATCAACACAACTGCATTGTTACATATCTAGGCTATGATATTCCCGACGGTTATACGACCGTGGTGATTGTCCTCAATTGACCGTATAATGCACTCGGCCAATGGCCTCAATAAAAGGACAAGGAAGAAAACAATACCATATGTAAGGCATGTTTCCTGCTTCCTGAAAATTCACAAATATCTAGAAACGGAAGGTCTCTGATCTGATCTCATCAGAAAGTGCTGGAGTCGAGTCTTTTTCCGACCGGGAGAAATGGGCCAATATTTTGTAGGCCACAATGCACGTTGTATAGCAGTATGAAAAACTAGACAGTGTGGTCTAAATTCTAAAAAGCATTAGTCAGATTTGACTAGAAACCAGTTAAATTTGACTACCCATTCAGGGTCAGCTGGGTGCAACTGAAAATCAGTCAATCTGACTAGATTTTTCCAGTCAGCATTATTGACTTTGGAAAATAGTTATGCAAATAACTGAAATTGGAGTTATTGACTTTGGAAAAATAGTTGTACAAATAGCTGACATTGGAGTCGAACCCATCTACTTTTTTTCTAGCCATAGTAAGAAACTTTGCATGTTTAACTAAATTCCTAGTCAATTTCCAATAACTAGGAAAGCCAGTCAATATTTTGACTATAAGTGTTGTTTTAGAGTGATTGGACTTTATGATTTAAGAGGAGAAATCTAGGTAGTTTAGAAGAAAAAAGTGGTTTGCTGAAAATGCGTCAGTATTTGTAAAATCTGCTGGCAAAAAAACCGAGGCATGATCAAAATGTATTACAAAAATGTTAGACATTTGATTTAACGTACAAAATTGAGAAAGAAAGCTTAATATCATAATACTTCATGTCAAAGTGTGCTTAAGTGTCCCAGTTATACATTCTGTGAGACCAGCACAACAAATTGCTTTGCGAAACAAGTCAAGAAATTGCATTTGCATGATAAGGAGGATAGGACATTGTCAACACAAAATACAACTATTATTCATCGGGAAAAACCTTATGCGGTTTCTGCCTGAAGTAGTTTTGTATTTAAAATAGATGTGGTTTTGTGTGAATCATCCCGAGCTGAGTAAACGCCTGTGTTCCACATAAAACTCGATGCCAATAATGTAGTTTAGCGAAAAGGTCAACATTTCTTTAGCAATCTTTAGGCTTCCATCAATAACAAAACTACCGGGTCAATTTTTGACTGTGAAAATTTAAGTTTAAGTCCTGTGTAATTTGTTCTTGATTTATCGTAGATTTGTCTCCTTTTTTTAACAGAACTGTTCATGTAACAATTAAAGTTTACCAGAATTTCGCGGAAAGTACAATAAACATGGCTTATGTTGACATGCGTTGAAAAAACACATTTTGACTGTCATATCAAACACTTATTTAAAGAAGACTATCCTCAGACTGTATATTTATAACATATGAATCTAAAAAAAAAAAATGAAAATGACACTCGAAATTTCTCAAATTCTTTTGAAATAAATTCGCCGGAAAATGTCTGGTCAGTGTAATATAAACAAGGATGAGTCAAAAAGAAAGTGACCTGGATTAATGTTTTCTTTAAAAAGCAATCAAATTTGATACACCAATGAAGTATGTCTTAAAAGAGCATGTTCTTCCGCTCATTACTGAAATTGATCCGTGCCATGAGAAGTTATACATGTTTTATTAAAGGAACCTATGTTTATAGCTGTCCATGGAATGCCATTTGAAGCTATTGAATTGAGTAAGAATTACAGATTACACACTTGCATACAAATACGAATGAATTTGAATCATTTGAGTCTAGTCTGAAACATTGTTTTACTGACAGATTTTGTGTGTTTTGAATTATGTGAAACAAGCCAACTCTTTTTTTTTTCCTGAAATATTGATGGCGATTTGTCTGTTTTCCTTTGCAAGTTTTCGTTCAATCATGGAGGTGGGAAAACGTCCATGTTTCATTGTATGTAATGGTATTCATCAGTTCGTAGAACGGTAAATGATCAACGGTGGACTGCTGAAATTTGTGATCTTTTTATTAAAATAGACGTAACTTGGGAATAGGTATGCAAATTAAGTGAAATTTTCACAGTTACTAGTCAAAAACATGTACTGATTATATTAAGTGAGCCACATTTTTTTTTTAAATTTTTTAATTCCGTCACTTTCATTTTGACTCACCATGTATAGAATAGCGTCGTTGGTATACCTCAGGTTTAACAACAGTTCTTCAAAGAAAGATTTCACGTATAAATAAAAAACCGATATATTTCATGCATGATCTGTGAATTAAAAAAAAGAGACTTTGTTCGGTTACATTTCAATTTGGACTAGCAGGACTGAATATATACAATGTATGCCAATATATCAACCAATCCTTTTTTTAAATTGTCAAAACGAACAGTGAAGATTTGCACATATACTTAGTAATATCATCCTGTTCTACTTTGAAATACCGATCTGTTTGTTAGTACCTTTTGATGTCTCATCCGAAACCACCTCAGTGGTTTATGGAGTTATTGGGTTTATTGGGGAAATCGAATTCATCACTAATTAATTAATTTTTTTGTATCTGGTACAAGCTTGCTTTCGTCATTCCCCTTACCCTTAATTCATTTGATAACCGCTGCGTGCAGTAGCGGATCGGGGGGGGGGGGGCTGCAACAACATCAAGCCCCTCCTCCCCCCCCCCGCCTTCACCCAACCCCCCCCCCCTTTCAAATCACACACCCCACACCCCTCCCCCCTTTCCTGAAAGCTAGATCCGCCCCTGGCGTGTGTACTGCGTCCTGCAAGAAAGATGCAGCATAAAACTTTAACCTAAACTTAGAACAACGGTGGATAAACAAAAATAGAAGTCTTTCCCGAAGATATTTCAAACTAAATCCGTGTCTCAAACCAAACGCTTATTGGTAAACCCCTTCCTCTTTGTTCTTACTGGAAATCTGGAATTCAGTGAGGTTCCTTCAGAGCCCGACTTGGTTACCTCCCGGGTTCTGCTGACATAACCAGCGGCGGCGGAACGGTTTTCAAACTGAGGGGGGGGGGGGGGATCACCAAAAAGGGTATACTTGCTCCGTAAAAGGCATATTCCGTCGGTGCAGCAGCGTATCCAGCAATTTTTTTTTGGGGGGGGGCACATCCGTGCTGAAATGTCGACACTTTTTTTCACCGGACACTTGGCCTCCGTAAAAATAAAACAAGGGGGGTGGGGCCTGGAACCATCTTCCAAAATAGGGGCGCTCTTCAAAACCGGCCATTATGCAAACTACGCATTATGTGCCCATTTTCAGGGCGCATTATAAGGCTTTTGGGGCTTGGTTTTCATATTCCTCGTTCATATCAGAAATCTCTATACCATTTTGGGAAATGGTTACTGAAAACAAAGTATATCCAAAATTGTAGGGCCAGTTTTTTTTTTTCATGGCGAGGGCGCACATTTATGTCCGCAAGAGGGGCACTCCGATAAATCTGGGGGGAAAGTGTCCCTGCCCCCCCCCCAAAAAAAAACTCCGTTTAACCTGACCCCTCCCCAAGATGGTGAGGTTTGGTGCGCACATTCCCGTAATCAAATTGAGAGAAAAAAATGAACAAAATCTTAAAACAGGTCTTAATAATTTCTTTCTGCCGTTTAGCCCGAAATTGTTTGGTTTAGAAACGGGTCTGAATTCCATCGACTCCCCTTTTACACGGGCGTCGCTAGAGGGGTGTGGGTGCGGTGGTGTTTGATTCAGAAATAGCCAAGCAAGCTATATAGATCATGGCAAGGAAGGATAAGCTGGAATATGCAAGACTCTGTGTAATATCGCCAATTGGCGCTGATTATTCGCAATATTAGCACAGCATGCATAAGTTGATCGTGTTTTGATTGTCAATATCAGATGCTTGAAATGAGGTTATGTCGTACTTTTCGTAAAAAACAAACACTGTTTTTGATACCCCCACCATTAGTATCAAATTCGCTCCATTTGTTGTTAGTTCAGGAGGCTCAGATTCTCAACAACAAAAAAGCTTTAATGATTTGTTTTTAGAAGAAAGGTAACACTAAAATCGTAAATTTGGGTCAAACATGATATGCACGATTCAGTCTAAGAATGAATTAAACATCACGCGTGCATGCACGCCAGCAATCTCTAAAAGTACAAGGGGCATATACGAGACGGCCGTGGTATAGCGGGTATTTGGGTTAAGGTGTCAATCACTTCGGATCTCACAACTTTTCCCCTTTCTTGACCAAATTCGGGGCGAGCTTGTACTCGACCTGTATGGCATTGTCATTCTTATTGTTAGAGGGAGAGAGAGAGAAAGGGGTTTGACTCGAGACAGAAAATGGGATGCATATGTTGCGAGGGAGTGGGGCACATTGTAACAAAAGGCGGCCACACAACGAGTCTAGGTGGCAGCCCACGTAATGGAATATCTACTCCAATTTGGACAGTAATGTATTTGCCTAGCACTTGACATCTCGCTGGGGAATAAGACGGCCAGGTCCAGGTAGGCCAGCCGGTAACGAAGTGCCAGGGAACTTGGACTAAAATGCTGACGCTGGCTCCAACCACTGAATGCTTGCCTCGAAAAGAAATCAAGGGGTTTTCTAGGTTTTTTTCTAATATTTTTCTCCCCACCGCATTCTCAAATCCAAAAATCTTAATCGACCTGAACTAAACAAGCAAATAAGGCGAAAGTGCCGGTTTGCTCTTCTTTTTTCTCAATATTGACCCGGGAATGTTACCGCGACGGTCCACCGTACAGCGCGTGACGTGAGCGGGCATACCCTCTGATTATTACCGGTACTTAGACGCGCTGAAAAACAGGGGCAGCCCCAGGCGGCCGTGCAGCGGTAAAAAACGCCCTCGGAAAATAATTATTGGAAGAGGAGTACATATAGGGCTGCGGCTATTATCAGAGAACTGGGGGAAGTAAAGACAGAGAGTGCGTGATCAACATTGACATTTATTTGTTTTTGTTTCAAGGGGGATGATCTTGCGGCCCATGGCATACAGGCCAAGAAAAAATAGATGTTGGAGGAACAGGAAAAATCGGGTCAGGCAGATCGAGCGGGGATGGGTACTTAGCGGTAAGAGTGTTGAGCTTTCTAACAACATCCTTGGGCACAATTGCATCGGGTCGCTGCGCAGGGTCGGTCGGTCGGCTACCGAAGCTGGAACTTTACTGTTGCTATTATGCTCGAATCGTGTATTGCATGGGAATCTGCCCTTTTTTTATAAGTCATGACACAAGATTGGACGAAATGCAAGGGTCAGAATATTGCTATCAACGATGTCTGTTATCTCGTGAAAGAAATTTAAATCAGTATGATGATGAATGTTTTCTGGTCTGAGATTAACCAGGAAAAAAAGGAGGGCTGTGTTATGCGTTTCAAATTCAGTAATTCCATTCAAAAACTGAATCCAGAGCAGCGTGATTGCATAATTATTCATTCCAATCTACAAGTGCCAGCCAGGTCAAAAATATACACAAAGGTAAGCGAGAGATGAAAATATGTACACACAGGCCCGGTCCCCCTACTATTTTGGCCCGCGTTTCCTGCCAGCTTCGCGCCGAAATCCAGGCCCCCGTATCATTGCTTTTTCATGATTTAATTCGTTGACTTTTCTAATTGAGTCGACCTCTTTTTCGTGTTTGCGCAACAGCAGCGGCACGTGTAGTGTTACCTACTTGACGGCCGTCGAGCCGACTTTCCACGGGCCGGGGCCCCGACACCGGGGCCTCTCGAGCCCCGGCCAAATTGCCAATAAAATGACCCAAATGCGCCACCGAATTAGCACCACAATGGAGACGAGGAGGGACTGATATATTCATTCGATGTTTCAAGAGATATTACGTTGCTTTTATTTTGGGGGAAAATAACGCCTTTTTTTCCCCTCCATAGCAAGATGAGATGAAGGAGAAAGAGTAGAGAAGGGCAGGGAGGGGGGGGGGGTTGCTCGATTCGAGTCGGCCGAGGGAGATATTATTCCGGGTTGGGGTGACACAAATTTACACAATGTCCGAGGTGAACCGTTCAATATGTTTCGTCGCGGTCCAACTAGTACGCCAATGAGCCACTCTTTTCAGAAAAATAGTGCACTGATTTCTTGAATACAATTGTAGCTGGAGACCTGTTTCTTCAATTTAATATGAATTTTAGCCTCTCTGTATGTACTGACCTTTTAATGCATTACCTTTATTATGATGAAAGTTTCTCATGGATAAACTAATATTGCGTTCTTCATTTCCTTATACTCAAGTGCAAGAATCTATGCAAGTGTTGATGGTATTTTTTTCGTTTGAGCTTTTTGGGATTTTCTGTTTTATAGTATTTTCATTATTACTATAACGAACTTGATTTGGAGATTTTAATTTTAAATGGTACGGTTAAGTCACAAAACAGTCACAAAATTGCAGATCATCCACTGACTGGTCCGCCGTGACAAGGTACCTACAGAAGTCGTGCTTGTGGTTCGCCTTTGCCTTCACAGTTCAATCCTATCAAAAGTCCTTGGAAACTCTAGCATCATAAGGCATAGGTGTATCTTCACTGTATATGTGAGGTTGATGTTTATGCAATTCATATAGTGCTCAATGAGCCTAACTTTTGAAAAGAATGCCGAACATCGAAAAGCACAAAATCTACGCCAAGTCGGTTTGTCCAATGGGTAAAGCACTAAGGCAACAGTTTCGATAACGTTGGTTCAATTCCTTGCTCAGGCAAAAAGAAAAATGGCTTGAAGGTCTGGTCTACCAAAATCAAACCAGAAAAATCAAAAGATGTGCACACTCAGATACACAAGATGCCTGGAATCGATGGGATGGTGCATTATTTAAATCAGCTTTTTATACCTAACTGTGCAAGTTGCTGCGCAGACTGAGAAAAGATGTTTGGACTGACACGATTTTGGAATTCCAATCCCACTTTGTAACCAGTGTTACATGTGTTTTCACTTCACTGTCAAATGTTTATGGAGTTCGGTTTGTATCTGAAGGAACCAAACATGTAAGTTCTATGTTGCTTTAATACCAAACGTGTCGTTTAAAGAAATACATGTTGAAAGTTACCACATAAAAATGGTTGCACTCTTTTGTTTTGGGAAAAGACGATGACGGACATAATAATAAGTTGATGGTGAGATTTTGTTAAACTTTTTAAATTTTTCTATTATGTTTATATCAGCGGTCAGGGCGATCTTGAGATAATATTAGGCCCTGATTAAAACTTTCAGTCATTATTATTGCTTTTTTAATTTGGAGAGTTGAACAATTTGCTTTGGTTTTGATTGATTACAATGCCGTTTGTATATACTTACCATCAATTTTCTTTTATGTTACATACCCCAAGAAAGATTGAGACCATCCCTAATTTTATTCCAACAACACAATCAGTTATTAAAATAATGTGAAAGTTAATCGTTGAAATTCCGAAGTGGTTAATGAAGTCAACATGTCAATCAAATCGTACAATCGTGGCTTTGTTATACGGTTGTGTGTTCTAGGGCTGGAACTATCTCTGTATAATATAATATGCTATTTATTGCGCTTACATCCCCACCCACTGCTAGGGGAGTGAGGACCGCCCCACCCACGGTAGACCCCCTGCCCGTAGTGTTTGCATTGCCTCACTGGTACTCAGCGGGCCCAACACCGCTTATTGTGATAAGTTCATTGAGGCCGTCACATCGGATGACGCAACTTGGGGTTTGATCAAAGGGACCTGATGGGGTCAAGATGCCAAAGTTTGTGCAGCGGGCTTTCTGTGTGCAAGCTAGCTACCCCGCCCCCTCTGGGGCCCGAAAACAATCTGCTCGGCTCGTTGGGAGATATTTGGTAACAAAATAGATCAAGAAGTGTTTTAGTTGTGGCGTTTATCCAAGGATATACGGTTACGATGCTTGTTGCAGAGAAAATATTGCGTGATCCATACCTTTGGCCGAATATTTCCTTTTGTGTTTTTCTTATGTTAGCATGTACCTTGTCTGTCGTGTAGCTGACCCAATGGTCGGTAAAGTTTGTTCTGATAACAAAAACAATGACCACGTAACTTGTTGTTCCTGTTTATTCTAAGTTGCATGGCAGCGCTTGTTGAATTTATTTGAAGTTTTCTAATAGTTCCAGTTTTTGTGATTGTATTTCTACTTCTACAGGTACTATTTCTATTTCTACTAGTCTCTGCATGCTTCCGGTAACCGAATTTTACGCACCTTTTAAAGTTTTTAAACCTTAATATGACAGTTGGGAGAAAATAAAGTAACAAGGCAGAAACAAAACAAAGTATAGTTTAGCAAAAACAAACGAATGATATTTTGTTAAAAATATACAATAGTTGATAGTTTGAATTTTGGTGTCTTACCTGAAGTGTGTGGATCTCCAGTGCCAGGGTATCTGAATCCCAATATGTCATTGACGGTGTGTGAAGAGGGCCAATGACAATGCCTCATAGGACCACATGGACCTGCTGCAGCCGCCACCATGGCTGCTTTAGAGTTAGCTGGGGATGGGCATGGATATGAGTAGATCGGACTATAGAGAGATCGGTGAGAGTCCTTGGTAGGATCGTAGACGTGTTGTAGATGGGCCAGGGTGCTGTTTCCAATTTTGTTGCGGAGAATCCGGCTGATAGAGCTCACGGACGGCACGTTGTACTTGTCACAAACCCCCTCCGCCAGCAGTTTGTCCCGTATCTCCCATGCGAAGATACCGGGATCCCGCTGCTTGTAGTCTCGGATCTTCTTGACCACGTTAGGGGTAGTCACCCGGGGCTTGCTGCCGCCGATGGCACCGGGTAGGATCGAGCCGGTCTCGTTGTAGCGTGCCAAGATCTTGCTGACGCAGCCGTGTGAGACCCGTAGCTGACGGCTGATGTCACACGGGCGGATACCGAGCTGGGCTAGCTCTACGATCCTCAGACGGATCGCGTTGGGCAGTGGCCGGCCGTTCACAAACACTCCGCCTAGCTGGTTCACCTCGCCGAATGTTTGCTCTGCGGGGAACATCCCGTAAAAAGCCATTACTTTCGTATTAGTATTATGTCTGAGAAGCGTGGAAGGGAGCGAGGCAAGTCGAGGCGGGGGAGCGTTTGCTAAAGCAACTGGCGTTGCGACGCTCGAGCGCCGGCTTTTGCTGCGGGCGCGTTGAGTGCACCATTAGAGTGACAGCGGTATGTTTGATCAACGTGAATTACATTTCCGATTCGCTCAAACACTAGCGGCGATCCAAAACTGCCATTGATTTTTTTTTTAGCTGGCTGCAGGTCGAAACACAACTATCTTGGCCCACGGAGCTGTGAAAATGCGAGGGCGCTTGATAGGATGAAGGCGAGCTCAATAGCACTGGCGGGAAATGAGCAGAGTCAGAGGGTTTGTGGTGGTGGATCGCTTGAGCAAACCTGGAACGCCTGCCCGACCCAGAAGTGAGCTACACAGACAATACAGAACCACCACATCAGCGCACGCTATACCCCCGAAAAGAAACAAAACAACAGGCAAATTGCATGGCAGCTCGTGTTTGAGGGAGAATCATTATGCAGTTTTCAACTGTACTTTCAAGTGTGCACACGGGCGGGATAAGGGCGGGGAATATGGTGACACCATCATCACTCATGAAAATGCATGCCAATAAAAAAAAGCCACCTCGCCCTCGTACTCTTTTCAAATCAAAAAGCATGGCAAGGCGGCTAAAATATCAATTGTTCCTCACAAAAACCCACTTACGGTAATGCATTATTAAGTTACCCCGCCGTAAAAAGTTTTTTCTCTCTGTCTATCTCTTTCCATCTCTTTTTCTTCTCCAAGTCAAATGAATAATAATGAACCCAATTAAATATTCGGTAGGTATCAACACCGGCCGTTAAGTGGCCGATCAACACCTCCCCGTCTACGCGGCCGTGCGCGGCCCCACGCCAGCCGACACTAATAAGGGGAGAAAAGGAGCCCGGGAGCCGAATAATTTCAACTATTAAAACCGGGCAAAACAAGGAAAGGAGGGTACTTTTTTCATCTAGCCTACGGGTTCAGCAGGGATGAGAGCGCGAGAGAGCTTCTGGGGCCTGCAGCAAAGTTACAATGATCGCAGGTTGTTTTGCTTGAGCAATCCGTGTCTTACCACGGCGTGGCCGACACGGCTTGCCAACGACATGTTTATCTTCTCCCTATCTTTCTCTTATCAACACCGCAACGGGAGCCGTAGGGTAAGTTACAATAAGTAAAAAATGTTAAACGATTTTTCAGGTTTTTTTTTTTACCCTCTTCTTTTTCCGTTGTAAATCTTTTATGTTTTTGAGTACCGCCGAGATCGCCCAATAAATCAAAGTTCAGAATCTCAATTAACGGCAAAGGTGGATGTTCCGACGATCTATAATTTTGAGCTGGTGTTGCCCAGCCTCTGGCACCGGGGGAAATGCAGCCCGGCTCCCCGCTACAGTATGCGCGCTGGCACGCTCTCGTGTCTAGTCTTCCCCCGCAGAAACCGTGGAGAGATTCACCGATACGCGTTCACGGCAGCAGTTGGCCAGTCACGGCTAACAAGCATTTCATACGATGGCAAATTGGACATGGAGTGAGTCGGCGCGGCGTGGCCAGAATGTCTTAGTTGTTCCACTCCTCAAAGAGACAGAGAGAAAGACAAACTTCTTTCTTATTCTGGTTTGAGGTCCTTGAAGCTACAGGGACCTGAATCGGCCCTTTCGGGGTCAATGAGGGGGCTGAACAAGTTTATTGAAAAGAGATCTGCATGGATTGCTCGCGCACGGAGAATGCATGCAAGCGACTTGGCCAAGAACTATACGTGTCGAGAATTCCGAACAAACACACGGGGCACTGTTTTTCCCCCGCAAACTTGGATATACATGTTAAATCAATTCTGCTTACATAGAGAGTGAATGCGATTCCTTACAAACAATAAAATATAATCTGGCTATAATTCTTTCACTTATAAGTATCTTTTGATTCAGGACACATCCGTACATGTACATAATATTGTATAAAATTAGGCAAAACTTTGTGTTTTATTCAAATGTTTAGGCCTAAGCAAACAAATTTAATTGTTCAAAAGCGTAATCGCATTTGTTGTTTGATTCAAGTTTTAATTTTTAACATTTTACAGGCAATGCTAAAGTGGTTACAATTCAAACAAATGCTATACCTGATCATCATCGGCAAGTTAGAATGCAAGAAATTAAAGCATGCAGTGTAAAGCTGTGGCCAGATTTTGAATGAGAAATTTTGAATCAAGCTGGGAAAAGTGTGATGAGTTAACCAAATTAAACCTAAGGTTTAATATACATGACACAAACTTTATTATTTTTAATCCGTCAATGATTCTAACAAGTATTTTTTTGGTATTATTTTAGCAGAGCAAAACCAACGAACAAGCAACAAACAACTCCAAAACAAAGGCAGACAAAATTTAATGTTAAAAGTTCCCCCAGGTAGTCTTTCACGACTTTTTTTTCAAATTCCTAAATTCTTACCACAAGTTTTTGAAGTCTGTTTGTTTTTTAACCTGTACCGTTTTGAAGGCACACTTTGAAAAATGATGTATTTCAAAAGGTCATATTATTACCTGGCAATTATGGCATCAAATCGTAAAATTGATTTCCTACCATGCGAGAGAGAGAGGCAAAAAAGACGTCAATCTTCTTTCGGTCTTATAATATCCCTGCTTGTCAGTGATGTCGTGGACATAAATCCACGGCTGCCAGCGTTGTTATTTTCATTGGAAATGATGCATATCGAAATTATTACTCACATCGGGGTCAGTTATTATGTTTACATTAGGACGACAGGAATATACTGCATGCCGCGTGTGTCTCACAGAACCTTGCTCGCAAATGAAGAATAAAAAGAAAAGCTCTGGAATTTTGAAACAGCACAGTTTTCCCCGACACCGCAAGCATTTAAGCATGTTTAGACCATAAGCTAGGAAATTGGCGTTTGTCCAAATTTGAAACATATTGAGGGGCAAAGCACTAAAGTGTTATACGTGTCTCAACTAAATCAATGCTTAGGAAAACTGTTAAATCTTCGGTTTCATTTAGATTGAGGAAATGCATTGATCATTCTGATTTCGTATTCAAAAACATACCGTGTGAGTAGCAGAAAGGCGCCGAGACAGATGGAAGTTTGGATAGGGCCCCGGCCCCTGGTTTAGCCATAAAACATCCATCGCTACTTGTAATGGTTCCCAAAAGCAAACACATAAAGAGACGGGATTGATGTAATTTGTAGGTTTTAGGGAGGCCCAAGTCCAAACAAAGGTGTGCTGGGTCTAGCCACCATCCTCTTGCGGTTGGTTGTAAATTTTGGACCGGTCGTTTTGACTTTCTCTTTGCTTTCCCTTGACCTGCCCTTGTCTTTCCGCCACCTTTATCATCGGGGTCATGTGTTTGTTCAGTGCATCCTGACCCATTTTTTTTTTTTGCACGGCGGCATCATTTTTCATTTCAGTGTGAGATTGGGTACGTGCACTGGTGGGTTTTACACTGTCTCATCTCCAAAGAGTTAACAATCACTCTTTTCGAGTGAAAAATCCCTCAATCTCCATGACGATTTTGAGTAAAACTCTTTCGATCAAAAAGATCGAGTTTTCACTTGAGTTTCGACTGCAGTGATTTCTTTTCCGTGTATTCAGTCTAAAATAATTATGACTTACACTCTGAATCGTCTGATCCCTGTAGTTTCATTCATTGGAAATTTGAGAGCATTATGTAAGACAATGCAACAGATTGCATTTTCCTATAAAATACGGCGCTTTCCTAGCCCATAATTATACCTTATCCTGGCAATAAAAAGAAAGGACGCAAATGGGGAACAAATCAAATACTACCAGATCTCAACTCATCTACAACTGTGTGGTTATAGGAAATCCGTCGGATTGATAGGGCTTACAGTGCTTAAGCTATGCTTAAGCTATTAAGTTGTCTTAATATATAGTACGGCAGATAGGTGATGGCATTGTGCCTTTGATGATACAAGCATGACATTTTGGCCCACAGTCAGAGTATGTCATGAGAAAGATATTTGGCAATGGGGCATCGCAGATTTGTCCTTTGAAAAAAATATAGGTAGAATAACAAGCAATGGAAGCCATTTTGAAAATTTTGAAAATTGCTGGTTATTCTATTCCTATATTTTCTCAAAGCACAAATCTGCGATGGCCAATAGCCAAATATCTTTCTTACGACACACTCTGTGTGCCAAATACCATGCTTGTATCATCAAAGGCACCAAAAATATGTCCCCTATCTGCCCCACTATATAAGACCGTCTTCGCGACACATCCTAATTAAGACTGGCAATTTTGGATAAGCGTTTTAAGTCACTCAAATAAAGAAATTTTAAGCAATTTCACGTGACCCTTATTTTCAAAAAGTTTTATCAATTCAAAGAACCTAAAGGAGTTGCATGGCTAGTTTTGAAAGAAAAGACAAAATGTCCGAATGAAGACTTGTGGCCGCAGTATTCACTACGATATGATTCGTAATAAGCGGCTATAATATCGCGCATTCGTCACTTTTCTAAAGACTATAGACGCAAAAATATTTGCTTTAAGCGGAGCAGTATTTTTAATGATTCGCCATCAATAATTCGGCTAATTATTCGTTGGGCATTTGAATTATTTTCCATCTTAAACAGAACAACATAACATGACTCCATTCAGATAAGAAACTTAAGACTCATCGGAATCACATGGGAAAGGCAATGTTAACGCCATATTATGTTGCAACTATTACCCAAAAGTATTCCACTACAATTATCTGAAAATGCAAAAGTCCTAACAATTAAAACACTACGTTTATGTAATTATTTTCTCTTTAACCAAAAGAATCCCGCTAGTCGAAACAAAAAGTTGTTTTTTAATCAATCTGGTATTTCAAATCTGTTACAGTTAGCCTATTCAGGTGATTTGCACAGCCATGATTGCCGTCGATAAAATTAACAACGGTTAATCACAACTCCCCCCTAAGGCTAGTGCTCTTAAACTGTACACATTATGATGCCAAGGTCTTAACTCCCGACAACAGACTGGGTGTTGAACATGCTCTCTGCGGTATCAGGGAAAGTGTTATGACTGGAAGGAAAATGGTCTTGTCCCCAAGATTTACAGTTTCCTGTCCCTGTCAGAATTCATTTAAGATTTGTGCTGACGAGATAGCCTCCAAGCAGGGAAGACAACACACGGGGGCAGCGTCATGCAGGACTACTGCAGTGCGTCGCATGTCGGGTGACATGTTGCGACAAAACTTCGTGAGATTTTGGATGCATGTTTAATTCATTCATCCATTCATTCATTCATTTCGGTTTTGTTGTTAAAAAAGATGGTGACCAAAGAAGAAGTCCAAGGACTAAAAATGTTTGGTCAACAGTAATAATTAATATTTACAATGATTGCTAAGCATTACATACATGTAAACAGTAAAGCTTGAACAGACAAAAACAATAACATGCAGTGACTGACATTACAGATAAAATTTGAGTAATTAAAATAGAATAAGATAGGAGAAACAAATATAATTATGAACACCTAAAAGTCAAAGTAGCACTTGAACGATAGGGATATTGTATTTGGCCTTTCATGTATTGCCTCTGCATACGTACGTTGACACATCTGCTAATTGTAAATGTTTTTACTTTTTTCCCGCTTTTCACCTTCATGTCATTTGAAAGCAATACAAGATTTTATGTTTAAAAACTGTAACATTAAAATTCGAGGCCGTGCGGTTTTATTTGAAAATTTTCAAATAAATATTTGAAGTGAAAACATAAATTTTGTAACTCGTCATCTTTCAGATTATCATGTGTAAATTCAGCATTAAGACATTTCTTGTTAATGGATTTGTTGACAAAAAATGCATTCTAAATACATCCCAACTAGGGGGGAAGGGCGCTACGCACTAAGAAGCATAACTGAATTCCAAAATTCGATTCAAGAAAATTCTTTTTCACCAAATATTATATTTCACAGAGTATGATGGCATTTTGTATGGAGAAAGGGCAGTTTTGTTTGATATACATGCATCTGGAAGACAGACTTCATAAGTGTACGTAAATTTTGTCATAGAAAACAAAAGCGCTTTCTATCTCTCTGTCTTTCACCAGGAAACTGATATTTGTGTGGGGGAACCGAAATTACACGAGTATTATCATGTAGGGTGTGAAAGGAACACAATCCAAAGTCACTGTAGCTACTGCATACGAAATAGCACGTCATCTCTGCATGCAAGCGGGCCGACACGGGATCGCCGTGTGTGTGTTTTCTCCATGTCAGAAGCGGAAAAACTGAAATTGATTATCGATCAGCGGAGCGTTTTAGCCGCGGCAGACAGGATGCAAGGCACTCGTCAGGCGACTAATAGGGGACTAACGAAGGTGAAATAGGAACCCACGTTACTCTATATCGGCGCAGGCGATACGAGAACAGGGGGGAGAGAAAAAGGGTAGGGTAAATAGCCAAAAGATGCGAGAGATCGAGAGAATATGCAGTCGGCACTTGTATCCAGCACTTAGTGTGAGGCGATGAACAACATCGGCTCAGCGCTGCGAATACGCCGTCTCCCCATCTCTGAAGTGCCTGGGCCAGGGAGCCGAGTGAAAAATTCACGGCTTGCGCGCAATACCGATTCGCCACCTATCCATGTCTTACACGCAGAGCAACTGTCTGAGATGGAATTCGTGCGTCCCCGCGCGGTATTGACCGGTTTGTCCCCGGACCGCAGTACTTTTTGGGGGGATCTCTTACTGCGTTCTCTGTTCTTGTGCTTTTTCCTTGCCTGGAAACCCGTCTCCCGTGTCTGGCCGTGAAATCCGGTAATGGCACGCCGCGTAGCGGCCCATTGAGCAGGGACGGCATTCAAGACACGCACGCCTCTCGTTATCGCCATTTAACAGCGCACGGCCCCTGCCGTCTAAGCAAACACCCAGCCTTGGCTACTTCACTTACCCATAGTCATCGACTGCTCGATCTCACAGCTCCGATTAATGTCACCGGTGGATAACCTCAGATCCAGGCCGCTGCTGGTGTGCATGTGCGGAGCTAAGGACCGACCGGTACAGCCCAGGTCAACCATTCGTCAGAAAAACTCCTCCTCGAAAGGGGGGCAAGAAAGAAAGAAAAAAAAAGCTCAGCAACCGTTTTGGCAACCACTGATGCTTGACAACCAGCCAGCCAGCCAAGCAAGCCCAAGCGAGACACACGCACTGCACGTTCTTTGCCTTGAGCCTCGTCGTGTCGTGAAAAGTTCCGAGCTAACACTTTACGCCTAATCCACTAGATCCAAGTGGTCAGAAGTGATTGCCAGTCGACAAGTTGTAACTTTTTAAACCTCGCTTGGTTTCCCCTGCCATCTGAATGTCAGGCGTAGTTGCCACGCGAAGACTTTCTTGTCATGCATTCGCGTTTTTTTCCCTCCCTTGCCTATACTCTCTTCTTCTGGCCTCTATATTTTGCCTTCGGTTGTTAATGGGTTGATGTCCTGCATACGCTAGTGGCGACTCGGGGCACTTATGCGCAGCCGCCGGCGCGTTCTGATTGGTTTAGCTTTGCTAGGGAGGCATCAGTCTTCACCTCAGGTAGGGTTTCAGCCATTGGACCCCATCATAATAATGCCAACCCGTGCTGTTACAGTTTATCCTCTAACTAGGTGAACTGGCTTTAATTACATTGACGGCTTTGTCACACATAACTGCGCTGTAGTTGAAACAGTTTCTCGCGAAACTCATGGCTTTCCTTCTTCGGTCTTTCTCCCTCTCTCAACGACATCAAATTAATCAGGTAAATCAGTTCACACACTGCTGCTGCAGTACACAAAGTTCAACAAATAAAGTTAGAAATGTTGTTATATAAACCTACATGCTGGCAGCTTGGTATCGGGAATTAATATGAAAAAATAATTAATACCATGTGCTTTTATTTTGAAAACAAAAACAGCATTCAAAGAGTATTCTGTGTACATTGCGATGCTGAATTCGTGAAATGCTTTCAACTTCACAATGCTTATAATAATATTTTTCTTCACGTTGTATGCAAAATAGTCAGCCTTATACAACTATTATTTACTCCGAGCGTACAGCTGCTGCCCAAGCTTCGATGAAGTCCCCCATGCTTCATGCGAAGTTGAAGGATCGATGATTGTTTAGATATAATCCTGACCTAGCAACGGGGAATTATCAAAACTCCGCATCATAACTGGATGCAGTGTTTACACAACCCTCTTATTCTCATTTCGAGAGTAATCATTAGTGTTCAGGCAGGTTTTCTGCTCTTTCTTATTTTTCCTGGTTTTTGTCTGCGATTTGTTTACGAACTGGCGATCGAATGTCTGCTCTTTTGCCCTTAAATTGCGTTCTCTGATATTTTCATGTTTCAGGTTTTTCTTTATAACCCCTCCCCCCCCCCCAAAAAAAAAAAAATACATAAATAGACACTTTCAAAACAACCGTCCAACCTTCCAAATAAAAACTAAAGAAGAAGAAAGAACATTTGAGCAAAACAATGTTGCATGAACATGTAAAGTTCCGAAATCTTGTTGCGCAACAATTTAGCCAAGCAAAAGACAAGCGGTTGGCTCCCGTGGTACCGTACGCCCATTTCGGAATGCCGCCCGTGTAGGTACGGAGGGTTCAGCGGTGAGGGAATCGGAAAAGATACGACCACTGAGAGATGCAACCAGCCAGTGAGCACCATCCCGTGTAGGCCAACCCCTCGTACATACCCTCTACGCGCATAATGTCATAGGGTCCTGCTATAGGTGCCCTGGTGTGCTAATAATGAATCATAAATCATTATCCACAGTCGGGAATAACCTCTGTATTGTGTTAAAAGGCACCCCCCCCCCCAATACTCTCTCCGCCAAACGATTTATCTTGGTGATGTACACTGACAGTTAATATGATAGATGACTTGGGAGCAAGCAGGATTGATACAAGCTTGAATTCCCAGCCGTGCTCGGAGTCCAAACTTGTCTCTTACTATACCCATCCCAGCTTGTCTCTTACGTCGAAGTTCAAGGTAAAAATGGCCTTTCACTGAGCGATACAACAACTCCATACAACCCCTTTATTTCAGTCCTCCGCTGAAAACAGATCACGTATATTACAACATCATAAATTAAACATGGCGCGGCGCGGTGCCTCGTATGTGTTGTTGGAATTATTAGTAACCTGACCAGACGCATCTGATCGGGCCGCGATGGCTGACGTTCATAAATCGTGGCGGGGTCAAGTCGTGTCATTCCAGGTCAACACGGGGCCATTTCTCAGCCTCGTCCGGAAGCTCATAACCAGAATAACTCCTCATCAGTGTCGGTCACTCACCTCCACATGCCAGTTGTTTCTCTGCTGAACTTTAAAGGCGCTCTATCCGGTCACCATTAACCCATTTATTTACTCTTTATTATTTGATAACTGAGATAATACATGAACAGGGCCGACTACACAGACTGATCGATGAAGAAGACAATTGTCTCTATTGAAGTGGCCCACAGACGATTCTGTTTACTTTGAAATGAGTTGGAAGCGAAAAGAGGTTTCAACATTTATGCATGAATGTTGTTATCTATATTAATCTTGATTATTGTTTTGTCGAATCATTTTCAATCATTAAAACAATCACTGTTTGTACAACACCACAATTGGTTGAAATAACCAATATTGGTAGATATGTGTCCAACCGATCCGATTGGTTGGACAAATTGCTACCAATATTTGGTTGTTTCTACCAGTATATTGGTTATTAACCAATCTTCAACCAATCTGTTTTAGAGTGATGCTTGATTGCGACTGTTTTGCACCCATATTTCTGGCTTGACCGATACGGTAATTACTTTGTAGTATGGGATGCTTCAATGCATTGGCCAATGACTGCAATATTCAATATCTGCGTGCGGTGACCGCAGAATATTCTAAAAAACTTATTTATTTTTAACGATTAGAAGTTGGCCACAGCAGCAAAAAAAAAATGCCTACTGAGGGCAGTGTCAAATCAACTAAAAAATAAAGAAACGTACAAGAAAGAAAAACATATTAGTAAAAACAATTTTTCATGAAATCAGAAATGACATTTTATTAAATCACTCGCGCAGTATACTTCTTGTTCACGCTGTACGCTGGGCGTGCTGAGCTGATGCAGCTTGGGAAAATGACCAATTGCAGAAAGAGGCCGGACTTCGAATAATCGCACTCTCTGACTTGAACAGTTTAGAAACGCTCGGTAAAGTTGTGTCATTAGTTTGGCTCTCGAAAGAGAAGAGTAATATGCCTGTAGCTTTTCATGACTTCCCGATTGTAATTCGACATCTTGCGATTACATTTTACTGGAAATATCGGTGGTGTGCGATCTGATTGTTTCGATGAGACTATGTTCCGCAGCGCTCATTCCTCGCAAACTCTAATATCCTTCAGCTGACCATCGTATAATTCCTCATAAGTTTAACCAATTGAACAGTTCGGTTCAGGAAGAGAAGTATTTCTTAGCACGGAGTCACCTGGTATCGGAGAAACAGGCTACCAGCCCAAGTGGCTGATCGAGACCGGTTTCCGAATAATTTCTTCTTTTGTAGGTAATTGTTCTAAGCTTAGCAGATCCGCGAAATCCGATCCAGATATCAAAAATGCTAAACGAAGTAGGCCTTATAGATGCACCAATAAATTCAATTCGCTCAGGTAGGCATTTTACGTTCGTCGCTTAGGGACAGAGACCAGTAAGCAATTATGTTTATCTTAGTGGTAGCTATGGGAATCACCCTGTATGCTCGAGTATAATGCGTATGCGCATTTAGGCAGTGGTAACACGCCTAACCAATGCGTAAAATGCGCAATTTCTGCTGCAAAAACTCCATGCTATACCTCATTAACACCCGGTACGATGTTGTAGAAGCAGCGCGGTTAGCCTAACTTGCCTTCCTTATTTCACTGAAACCCCAACCATGCCTAATTCACCAAATTCTGCATAATCCAACATTTTCAAATGAAACCTTGAGAGTTTGGGATTTTGATCCTCAACACTCTCTACGGTACGCGCGCGTATATCCATCTCGATCCCACATGGACGGCATGGTCTTAAAGGGGTACATCGTCATGAAATCGCCGAAAATTTTAATGTTTTAGATTGTTTACCTATCCTATTTCAAATGTCTAGTGAAAGGGAAACTAATCTATAATGTCTCACTGTTCAAGAGATAATTAATGTTGAAAACCTCTGATGAGGTGGACATTTTGTGGCATACGTATGTATTTCCAGTCGTGAAAAATTGTCCTTCTCTTAGACGAGGAGTTTTACCGAACTCCTGAGTCCATGATGTCGGACGATTCAATGTACGGTACACATGTTTGTACAAGTACATGTACTACTGCTATGGTGTTTCCAACCCTCCCGATACATGCGTGTACATATTTGTATGCATTTGCCCGTGAGTATCAGGCAGTGCGGCCCAAACGTTGGAAGCGAACGCCACGGTAGAAAAGTTCCCATTGCCCGCAAGTAAACTCCCTGCAGGAACTTGACTGACAAAAATGCGGTTATCTGAATTATCTAAAACAATATGCATACATAGCGTCGCGTTTTTCATGGTAAATTAGCGCATAATACCAAACATATGAACACACACGCGTTTTAATAAACTTTTTAAGAGGAACCCCTGCGCCTGGAATCACGACTAAAACCCAAACAACTTGATTGTTGTGCGCGTAGTCCAATTTTGCAAGAGTAACACTGACGACCAATTTAAATGCACTCTCCAACCAACGCCATTTCTTGAAAAACGCTTTTTGTAGCCCAATTGGGCGCTTTCCAGGACGCAGTGTCCCTTTCAGGATTACACCAAAAAAACTGACACCGAGCGTTGCCGATTGATGATAGAAATAATGTCTTACTAAAGGATAGATCACGAAGAAGATGGGGTGCGTCAACTTTCAAGATTTCGACTTTCGGGAAAACCGTCAATCTCAAATTTGTTCATTCTCAATCGCACAAAGTATAAAATCATATTGCATGTTGTGAGTAATTGTATTAAGGAATTGTTTCTACAAAGAAGAGAAATGAAAGTATCTGAAAATCCCCCTGCCTTAATTGCTTTAACAAACAAGGCAGTGACAAAAAAGCAAATTGTTCACAAACTTCAACGACACATTGGTTTGATTATACGACTAAGTATAGTCGGCAAACTGGTTTTAAAAAAATCTGTATTATTACTTGGATAACCTTTGGCCTTTGGAGATCAGCGGCCGGCCACCAAGAGCTAGAATCCCAGATTTCCCCAGAGTGCAATTACTTAAGTTCTGATTATTAGCCGGTTTTGAATTTCGGGACGGGGCAAGCAACCACGATTAGCCAGTCGGTAAATGTACATCTGCAAGACAGGTACCGCGGGGTGTAGTAAATGTCAGGCGCAGCGGCCATCAAAATATGCAGTGGTTCGTGTGGGGACTCCCTGCCTCATTCGCCA